CTCAGTCAGAAGCATTTTCTATTAGTTGAGTCATTCAGTTTGAATCCAAATAAGAAGACATGGATTTGGAATAGAATAGTTCATTTACATTCTGATGCTGTTCAATTACAGATTGACACTTACGTGAGAGTAAAATAATCTCGCGTCTACTAGCTAAATAACGAGCAAAAATCTTTCGCGTGATCCAGTCAAAAAATAACACATTTCTCAATGATAGCAGTTTCTTCTCTAGAAATGAGACGTTTTCGAAGTCGTGAAGAAAGATACAGCCAAAGAGATAAGTAGGGGAGTGGGTCAGCGTATGGGATTCGCGAAAGAAGTTGATTGGTAGGTACCCTGCAAAGGTCGTGTTCTGATTGGAGGACTGACTAAGAGGCACTTTTTGCAAATTCAACAAAATAAATACCGTATAGCAACCAGTTGCTTGCTGAATTGACATAGGGCAGTGCATGGATACCGTACATGACGTAGATGAATGTAGTTGATGCTTGAGGATGTGGTTGTTTGGAACGATACAAACCGTAAAGCGTTGCGATCCAATATGGACTCCAACAAACCACAAAGAACACTGATATCGCCATCGTGTAGATAGCAATTCTATTCACGGGTACCTGAAACGACTCAACCTCATTGATAGATTATCAACACTGATGTAGACGTGCAATCTAGATGAATACCGTAAAGTGGCTGATTTGAGTGACAAAAAATGATCGATCAATGAATAAGGAGCCAAACACGAAAATCATTGCACTTTCGACCGACTATTCAAACAGATAGTAGCAAATAAAGACACTGATGAGCTGTACCAATTAAACCATAGCTGAAAGTACCTGTGATGCGGGGATGGAACGGGAACGTGTAACGAGCCGTCTAACGAGTAATGCATAAAACAACACGATTAGAAAGACCGGTATAGCGAAGCCGAGTACGAACATATAAAGAATAAATGCTGTGAATAAATCTCCTTCAATATTATCGATACATTTGAAGATTCGAACTCGAACCAAACGGTCAGGACTCTCTAGGTGAATCTGCAATTAGCGAACATTTCATTATTGTACTTTCGATTGACCTGCGACGAGTCGTCTAATTGCTTAATTTTAATTTGCGTTCGTCATGAATAACATTTCAGTCATCATATTTCACGTAGTGAGGAATCCAACAAGCCACGATACTCAGAGTGAGGTACGGCAATGGATTGCATTTGGACTTAGGTTGAGGTTCATACTGGAGAACTATCTAGCTGCTTAATAAGACACCACTGATATCACAGAGCCATCTGTTCGCTCATAAGATACCTTAGGTGCGGCGTGAGGTTCAGCCTAAACCAAAATCCGAATGTGATTCATCGCCGTATCTCGCTCTGATTGTCGGCAGTCATAACTTAACATGGACGCATCCAGGTCTTTGAAGAACTTTTTGGCAAGTATGAACTCTTTCAATCTCGAGGTATTTTTTACTCATACAAAAAAAAGCTTTATTAGCGAGTTTCTGTTAAATTACGAATTAGGAACAACATAATTTCCAGTTTAAAGCTCTCATTGAAAAGTTGCAACATATGGATGCAGCAACTAATTAAGTGTCATTCTTTTCAAAATATTGCTGTATGACATCTACCTGTGAGGTGAAACGCTATTTATTGCATTGTTCCTGAGAATTTAAAAAGCGTATTTTGAATAATGAGGTTTGCATAACGACAAGACTGACAAAGGATGGGATGGATGCACTGAATAAAAAGCATCGCAAGAGTATATCGCGAAGCTAAAAACTGCTTTCAAATTCATTGATTTGACGGAAGATCTCCGGATGTGATTCTTTGTTAATTAGTGTAACCTATCTGACTGATCAATAGTCGCTATGCGGATGGATTCATGAAATGGATGCATTATTATGGAAAGTATTTTCTAGATTGACAAACCTCTTTGAGAACGATCTCTTCGGCGAACGTGTTGATAATGATCGGTGAAAGAAGCAGGAATGTTGCGAGAGTTAGCGTAATAAGACAAATAAATACAGACGATCGACTGAAAACGAACATTTTCAGTGATTATAGCAAACATTATCACTCTAAAGATCATTACTTCTGTTGCTATCATTCGCCTTTATTGCAATTGTTAGCGTAGTAACAGGTTTAGCTATTGTTAGCATTACTGCTTTACATAGTCGAACTTTCTATAGTTGAGTTTGTTTTTGGACAACAACATGCAATGAGCCGTCTAATGATCATGTCGAGCATGGAAATGTTCAAGTCGGCATCTTAGCACAACGTCACTGTTCTGAATGAACAATGAACATAGCTTATTTTCCAACCAGTACATTATCGATTGGCAACAATTTTCAACAGAATCAACAGTTCGTCGACTAATACTTCAGAAATACAAAGCGATTCATCCCCGCTGTAAAACGCTCCTTCAGCTGTGTGAAAGTCCTCTACCACTATTCTTCAGCTGTGTGAAAAATAAGCGCTTGCTTGCATATTTCCCTATGCAAAAGTTGAATGAACTTGCATTTTGATCAAAAAATAATTGAATTTCACATTGAATATTCTCAACAGCCACTATTCTACATGCGAAGAAGCTGTGGATTCGAATTGCCTATCTTTTGAGATGTTGATGGGTTTTCAACGAACTTTTATTTCGAGTCGAAGCAATGCTCAGGTTCTTAGAAACACTAATTAAATAATTAGGATATATTTAGTGTGATGTGTTGTTATTCCTTCAAATACTCACTCTTTCAAACACCAAACAAAATGAAAATGATGACTGTAATCTGCACATGTTAAATACGACTGCTATATTCATTGTTTTTGCAACGACAGTCTTTGAAGACTGCAATTCAATTCGAAAATGGCATTGAATATTGGTATTGTAATAGAATGTACTCTGTAAAAGTATAGAATCTAGATCATTTAGCTGATCACAAACACTCAAATATCGCAACAAACCTACAGTATTAGTGTAAAAAATCACATACTGTGAGTTACTGCGATATATGTCAACGAGTCAAAAAATTAAAGTGATTTTCAGCAAAATCCGCCCCTCCTACTACATGTTTGCTTCGAAACACAATGCTTTTTAGTCGTAGTCACTCGAAGGACTGAAACTTTAGAATCATTATAGGCAATTCATACTGTTATCCTTTCAATTAAGTGCGTATACGTGCGAAAATACAACGCCATAATGCTAGCTGCTAGCTCATTTCTTTCCGACACTTGATAATCAAGTAGAATAATCCGTCTGTGCTTCATTTCATGCGGAATGGGCGATCGCTCAACGAATGTTAATACATCGCTCAGAAAAAGGAAAGAGTTCGAAACACTAGCATGCATCGGTGTAATTTCATGAACCTAAATACTTCAGCAATTTAACCGAATAAAAGCTGCTTTCGATGATGGACAGGAGGATTCTAGAGTACTTAGTTTAAATAATATCCTAAAATGAGAGAAATGCTCGATCAGACTGACTATGAGATAGCGCGTGTGAGCGCAACTGATATCTGTTTTGCTTATGAATGAATACTAAGAATAAGGCGGTATTGTTGAAGAGTGAAATGGTGGTACACTGCGGACAAATTTCAAAAGGACGTATTTAATGGAGTTCAGTTCCATGTTTAGTCCCGACTTCGAATTTACATTCACTTTCCCGAGAGTATTCGTCTTCAAAGACGTATACTTTGAATGCTTTTTAAAAGATTATGCATAAAAAAGTGGGAACTTTGTATCTCAAACATTCAAGCGTTTAACGATGCGTGCATTTCGCACTTACGGCTCACTGCATTTGCACGTCATAATCGCTCCTTCGCTATCAAATGAAAGCTGTTTATCATTCACCTTTACTTCTTTTTTCATGAGTGCATTTGAAATCATTTTAATCACTTCATTTAATCCGTAAGTGATGTTTTCTGAGCGATGAGTGTATTCGCAAGAGAGACTCTCTGCATAATTGAACGATCATCATCAGGATGAAAATTAAAAAATTATGCATTTAGCTTACTATCATCAACTGAGATGCTAACACTATCAGGGAAAAAACAGTGACGTTGTCGTTGAGAAAGGAAGTTAGTTTAGTATAATTTGCAAGTAATATTAAATGTCAACTTCTATTCGACATTTCGATTGGAAATGTATTCTTTTGATAAAAAATTGGAAAAAAATTTGATTTCACAATAAGCAGTACAATTTGACATACAATTACACTTGTTACGATTGTTCTGGCTGAGCTAAGGACGGATGCGAATTTCAGAAATATCGACAACTCTTCTCTCGTAATTAGTAATACTCATTAGCATCCAATGAAAATTCTCTCTACTGTTGCATAAGATTGACCGAAAGATGACCGAAAAGTCGTTACAAAAGTGTTGACTCTTGGAATAGAAATAGTAAAGAGACATTACACCACAGTCAAGTGTGTCTCTAAATTGACCATTCAGCTGTACTTGCTATGGCTGATTTTAAGTTAGTGCTGAGAAGCTATACGATTCGATAAAT